ATTAAGTCTTCAGATCCACCTGGAAGAGAAGACAGAATAAAAATTAGTGTTTTAAATTAGCATACTAATCAAGAATACAAAAGCTGTTTATTTCTTAATCACCCTTAATAATCATATTTCAAGATGAATAAAGAAAGAAGAAAATGAAAAAACATTATTTTCTTTCTGCTATACATTTCCCTCCTATCACTTGCATACTTTTGATTCCTCTCACTCCAATTCTCTTATCCTAACCCACTTATCTTCCTTTATGTATAGCATGTACTGACATAAGTATCTGCCTTTTAGAACACACTTGAAAAAATAGGGTCTTTAGTATTTTTCTTTTTCTGTGTGTGTGATCCAAATTATTAACCATTACTAGACCACTCCTCTTTTCAAAAGTGGGATTTAGTTCCTTACCTTTCCAATTAACCCTTCTTCTTACACTCCTTCAACATGATAACTGCACAAACCTAACCCATATCATTTAAGCAAAAGCAAATGCAAACCCTCCATGTACTTGTGTTGTGGCGTCGAGAGGAGGGTTCCAGACCATGCTGAATCCACTGGTGCTATGGTAACTTGACCAGACACAGGACCAGGAGATCCAACACAACCTACAACCCTGTGTCATTACTCCAGCTCCATAATCATCACATGATGAAAGTACACAATAATTCCTTGGTAAAACATTGGTTTAAAGGACTTATGAACAAGAAACATTCTAGCATTTGTAATCTTTTGTTCATATTTAATCATTTTTCTAAAAAAAACAAAAAAAAAAAAACAGGAATCTGTAGATGTTCTGTTGCATTAAACATGGGGCCTGGAGGTAACTAACACTGTGATACGGTTTTAATGTGCCTCTGTGGGCATACCACAGTGGAAGTTCCTGCAGCCACCATGTAATTTCATCAGGTCAAATATCCACACTGAAAATATACTTAATTACAATTCACACAATTTTCTGTCAAAAGAAATTCCTTACCTTCACTCTGGTCCTCCATCTGAAGCTGAAGCTTACCACCAACAGGTCCCAAATCATCAGAACCCAATATAAGGGCACTACGGATACTGTCATCATCTAAATCTAAGCTTGGAGAGGGTCCTAGAGGGTCGTCACCTTCATCGGGGTCTGGTAGCTCAGTCTTTATGTTAACCAGGCTAGGGGATAAAGGCTCCTGGAAAAAAAGACATACAGTGAAATACCTTTTTATCTACTATAAAAGATTGTATACATTTTTTCCTAAACCATCTCCTTTAAAGTGCAGTGTTAAGTATTTTCTTTTTTTCATGTCATCTATTAACTAATAATTCTTCCCATCTATGAAAATGAAAGATACATTTCAATCCATTGGCCATGAATGACAAGATTTTACAATACTGAATCAACTTGAACAGTGACCCACTACTTAGGAAAATGACAAGGTACTGCTTACCTTCTTTGGTGTGGTCAGCTCAGGTTTTTGGGTTTGTAGCAAGGCCTTGCTAGCTCTTGTCCGTGTGGGTCTTAGCTTTGCCCTTGAAGTGGCTGGCAATGGGGTCCTGAGTGGGCTTGTCTTTAGTGGACTTTGTTTGATTGGACTCTGTTTAATAGGGCTTTCCCCAATACTGGATTCTGATAAGAATACTTCAATTGGACCATTTTCACTCTTCAAGTGAATTTTATAACCCTGAAAAATAACCATTACCATAACATACCTAGTCAATCATATCACATTATTTACCTTCTCAAATGAAAATGTCAAACAATTAGTATTTGTTAGGAAGTGCATGAGAATATTCATCATGCAACTTTGGCAAAAGTTTACCTGCTCTTTGACCTCTTGTGGGACCTGTAATTGTGTTCCAGGTGGCGCTTTCACAGCAAACACAGTTTTGTCTTTATAATATCGGATGGTGTGAAGATCATGGTATGTAATGTAGGCATATCTTTTGTCCTGACTCATCTGCAGGAGGTCTCTCTCTGTTGAAATAAAATTTAAACATACTCTGAGTATGGCTATGAAAAAGTATTTAAAAACTCTTGGAAAGCTTGTAACATTTATAAATTCATAACTGGAAGAACACTGAAAGAACATGCAGCAAATAAATTGTTTAAATCAAACTTAAAAACCTTAAAAATTCTCAAATCCATGTAAGCTTGTAGAAACTCAAGCACATCATCTTCTCCTGAGAAAAATGAACTGTGCTGCAGTCCCATTTAATATTCCAGGCATGCGGCACATACTTGGTACCAATCAAGTATGTAATTTATAGCCTGGGCACATGGTAATGGAATTCCTATGCTAAATAAAGAATCCAGGTTTATACAACAATTATATTTAACAAACCTGCTTGTTCTATTAATCTGTCAAGTTCATTTTCTTTGGAAGCAAGATGTTCAACATCACCCTCTAAATTTTGACTGCTCATCCGTGAAGCTCTGAAAGTACAGAACTTAAAAGTTTAGTACAAACTGTTTATAAGGTCATGATTTTTAGTTTTAGAAGACAATAGATATGGAACATTAAAATGAATAGCTGACTGACAGACAGACACAAACTGGATAAATTGATAATTAGATACACAGATGATACATAACCTTATTTTCAGCTATACAGGAAAATTATGCTGCATTATTCATTAAGTGATTTCAATCTTTGGGGATCAACAAAAATTACCAATGGATATTTTCAAAAGAAAGGCGAAGAAATATCAATTTGACATTGAAGGCCATCATGAACAGGAAGGAAGAGGATCAGCAAGAATTGAAATGAAAGTAGAGAAGGAAATATGTAGGAAGCAGAGCTGGACAGAAAGTAATATTTATAGGCATCACTTTCAAAATTCATGATAAGACATCTTTACAAACAAGCTATTCTACAAACAGCAAACATTAAGCACAACTTGTTTTGAGGAAATATCTAAGTCATTTGATAATTGGCAATCCAACCAAAAATAAGGAAACAGCTGGGAATTGTTGTTGTCTGTTTATGAATCTGGAGGTACCGACAACAAAATAGTTTGCTTTCTACTTACAGCCACTGAACATTATTTTTGGACTTTTTGTTGACTAGACCAATTCCCTCTAAGACGTTTGTGATATCATATATTCTCCTCTTCTGCACAGACAGCATGTCAGAGGCCTGTAAATAAACAAAGCAAGACATGGCTATCATATATCTTGTGCTAAAAGAGAAAGCAATATGTTACAATCCAAGTTATACATAAATGTTAATTTGTAATCTTCTTTGCATTATTTTAAAGCAAAGTTTGTGTTACAAATCCAAGTTTAATTTTCCAGACATGCGGCACACATAAGGAAAATTCCAAATATGTAATTTTTAGTCTGGGTGACCTGATGCTAACCTTAGTTAACTATGTCACCACTTACCATTTCACAAACAAAATAAGGAGTGAATTAACAGCACTACTTTTTTCTGCATCTCTATCTGATCCCTAAGCAACAAAAGTAGTATGATCTTATTTGAAGGTTTTTGTTTACATAATAAAAGAAAAAAGAAGAAAAAATCATCTTCATTCACATCCATGTTTTACACAAACATTAACAAACACAGACTCAAAATAAAATAACAAAAGAATTTACTTTCCTTTTTAAACTACTTACTAATTCAGTAACAAGAGCTCTGTATCCTTACCCTATTGAGATCAACAGTGCCATCAGGTGCCGACTGGAGTAGGTCAACAAAGCGTTTTGTAAGGAGCCCGAGGGAGGTGTCGTATCTTGAGGACTTACCCGGGGATGGTGCCGGAGGGACGGCTAAAATAAACACAATCAAGTGTTTTACATTTCATTGCTAAATTTCAGATTTTCTAGTCAAACACATGAGACAATATTGTGTAAATTTGTCTACAAGTTCAAAAAGTAATTATTTGACAGAAGTATCACACTTGTAACCCTAAAACAACCATGTACTTCACAAATTTTTATTGTGACAAAAGGGAAAGAAAGGGAAAGAAAGATGTGGTAGTGTGTGTGACAAACATTACATAATACATGAAAATCTTAACAACTTTAGTAACTGATTGGGGATAGGATAATTCAACCACTAACATACTGTATATAGGCAATATCTTAGGATGCACCTGGAAACTGTAAACAAACAAAGCAAGGCAATGCTATCATATCTTGTGCTAAAAGAGAAAGCAGCATATTCAAATCCAGGTTGTAAATAATGTTCAATCTGTATCACCTTTGCATTATTTTAAGGCAAAGTAAGTATTACAAATCCAAGTTTTAATTTTCCAGACATGCGGCACAAATAAGGAAAATTCCAAATATGTAATTTTTAGTCTGGGTGACCAAATGCCAACTTCAGTCAACTATGTCGCCACTTACTCTGTCAAGAACAAAACAAGGAGTGTACTAATAGCACTACTTTTTTGTGTCTATCTGATCTCTAAGCTACAAAAGTGGTAGGATTTATCTTAAAGGTTTCTGTTTAAATAATCAAAGCAAGAAAAAAATAATAATAATAAAAAATAAAATAAATAAAATAAAATAAATAATAATAATAATAAAAAATTAATTAATTAAAAATAAATAAATAAAATAAAAAAGTAATGATAATAATAAATAAATAAAAACTACACCCATTTTTCATGTTCATTCATATCTACAAAACAGACAAAACAACAAGAGTCTACTCTCTCTTTTAAACTACTTCCTAGTAATGTTTTCAGACAAGCAAAATTTATTTTTCGTCACTCTTATGTAAACCAACTCATCAGTATATTTACAAATAGACCAGAATGCTTTACTATTAATCCTATACTGGTGGTAAACCAGTTTCAAGGTGTGTTCCTTTAGCAGCCGTTTACCAGTTTCACTCTGGTTGCATTGGGTTAATGCTGTTTTCTCAGTGCAAATTGTGAATGGCACTATATCTTTTTTATCTATTTATTTCCTTGGCCTTTCTAGGAACATTTTGCAGCAATGAAAAGTTTTAACCCCTTGGATACAGCAACTCCCCCTAATGTCACTGCGATAAGTTGCAGGTTCCTCTTTTCCAACT